ATCCAAACTTTTAATTCTAAAATGTTGACAAAATCAATACTTTCTCCATATATAGAATATACCTACTATGTATAAGGAGGGAAAGTAAAATTGCAGAATATAAAAAAATTGTATACTTTTATCAAATTGATATTACAAAAATATTAGTTTCCTTGAATAAATTAAATCACTTTTTTTGTATATTTTAGATGTGAAACCCGTGGAACGGATTTCTAAGGCATAAACGATCTTATACATGTTGGGTTGAACACAAGCAGTTACACGGGTATAACAGTTATATGTTATGGAGGAAGATACTGTCAATATAACGTTTGTTCTGCCACAAAACACACATTAACCTGGTTATATTGAACTTCAAGTGTCAAGATATAGCTTTCGGTTATCATTTTATGTCTTTAGCCACATAATATTTTTTATTTCTTTACATCATTATATTACAAGGCTTTATAACTTTTTCAATGTGATACAATAAACTAGATTACGGGGGTAGAAATAGTAATTTTACATAAAGTTTTCAACAAAGTCATGTAAAGCCATATATTGTCTAGGATTTTACAAACTTGATTTTCAAAGATTTGAATGCGTTGGAATATTAGTTTCTAGAGTTGATTTGAAATTAAATGTGAGAACTAATTTATTATATTAAATGATTTTATTGGTACCGACCAAGATGATTAAGTAGAAACATCAATAAAATAGTTCTCATAAGAATAACGTGGTAACGTTTAAAGCCCAAAAGGTTTTTAGAATCAGAACTAAGGTGAAGGTGGGCTCGGACATAATACACTTTTAACAGACGTTTAAATAGTTCCGTTTAAGGTAAAAAAAAAAACATACAATTGATTTTATTTTTCTAAAAGTAGGATTTATTTTGAAGACATTTTCAAAATAAATCTTATAGTATGCATTGGGGCTACAACCAACGCTAGTAAAATGAAAAGTTTGTTTTCTTTTACTGTTTCTCTGAATCGTAAGAAAGCCATCAAGTTGAGCTCTCTCGGCTACAAGGGGATTGGAAAGTTCTAATCAGTGAAATCTTTAGAAAGCAGGATAATCGTGAACACTGTGGTTAAAGAATATATGTGTGGGGTTTCATGAGCAAAGCTACCCTAGCATTGCCTGTCACTTCATTTATATTTTTTGCTAATTCAGAAACGAACTGGGCTTTGAAAAAATCCACCAGGATAAATACAGAAAGATGTTAGATGTAACAAGCTGATTTAAATTAAATAGGAATTAATATAAAAAACTTGACATCCAGTGGTTCAAATCCTTTCTTACTTAACAACATTATAAATTTTATATTAGAGTAATTATTTAAAGTTATAAACAAAAAACTATATAGTGAAAAAGTTTCTTAAAGTCAAAGATTTTTTTAATAAAACGTAGGATATGTAATAAAATGAACTGTTATGTGTATACAACAATGCAGATATAAATAACCCACACAAAATGTGGCTTCAAAAATTGTGATCTCTGAAAATAAGTTACAATAAAAATATATCAAAATCTATTTAAATCAGGGTGAGTGAGCTGAACTAGTGGTAGAGCATGGGTCTTCACTCCCTATGGTCCTGGGTTCAAATCTAGTCTAAGTGATAATTTCCCAAAAACTAATCAAGCCTCAAGTAATATGAAAAATCCCTGGCTAGAACTAATGAAAAATCTTCTAAGATTGAATCCACAAAACATACTGTTTTTCCTATAACAAATCTTTATGAGCTATGATAGCTCCGTTAAGAAATTCCTGAAAACAGTATGATATTGATCGCAGTTATATTTGCGGTGTCGTAATGCAAGATTCAAACGCAGCCTGTAGCTCTCCCCTCCAAGATACATTTAGCAATGCAAATGTGTTTGGTTTGTCGCCTTCAGTTCCTAATCCCTCCCTGGATAAACTTTATCCCCTCTTCTCCCCAAACACTCCATGGCATTTCAATACTTTTAAACTTGCATTAGCACCCCAGCACCCTTAACAACCGATTCTTACTACACTTATAGAACTTCTTAAATTGTCTTTTAATATTATATTTAAGGTTATATTTGTATTTAAATGTTGTGTAATTAGGATCAAAGCTGCAAATAATTTAAGGTTATAATATTTAAATGTTGTGTAATTAGTATATTTAAAACTATTGTAATTTGAAATAGAGTTGTGTTTTCATACAAATAGTCCATACTAATTTAAATAGTCCATACGATTTAAAACTTTAAACTACTCCCATAATGCAGGGAAAGAAATCTGCACTAGAGTAGAGGGATCTCGAATTCTTAACCCTTACACTAAACTACCTTCACAATATTTAGGCGGTTTGAGAGGAAGTTCCCCCACCACATTGTTCTGCTGAATGTATGTTGCAGCTGTTTAATACTTTAATACTTTTCAATGAAATGGCGACCATACAATGTAGGTATTTCAGGCCAAGTATGAATGGAGATGAGTGTAGGATGAGTGGCACGATCTTGTAGTCTTGTTAGTGACTAAGGCCGACATATTCCTTAGACACAGCTGTTAATTAATAGCCCATACAGCTAATGGCAACTAAGGGACCTACAGTTTATGGTGGAATCCGAACCACATTTTTGCCTTGGTATATACGAATTGGTCTAATTATCAGGATAGTACTGCGGATAGTCGTAGTACTCACTCGTGCGGACGTTAATCCACACAGGAGAGTATCGCATCCACAGTGCATGCCTATAAATATCCACAATTCGTGAGTAGCTGGATTACAGGACGACGCCACCCATCCCAGTTGGTGTATTTGATGTTTGGAAAAATCTCAGCTGTTGAGCTATGTTTTAATGGTAAGTTCAAGACGTGGAGGGATCAAGATTTCTTCCCTTAAAGCCGCCGAAATTTTATGAATGGAGTATAATACTATAATAAGTATACACGATGTTTTTACTCACACATAATCTATACTGTATGGGTATTACCACTGGGTTACACCCAGTTTGTAACCTCTCTTACTTTTGGCTCCCAGTGCTTTACAATTATTAACAAATCCAATATTGGTCGAAAGAGAACGCAAAGATCTCTTCTGCTCTACAGCTTCCAACGCTATCTTACCTCCTAGGGTTATTGATTGAGGTCCGGTCAACTAAAACTAACTATAAACTTCCCAGTTTGCAAAAGCCAACTTTTCTTCCCAAGATTAGTAACATTTTGGATCATTGTGGATCTTTGTTAAGGTAGTTTGAACAAGTTGTTGATCTCCAACACTGCAGACGTAGAACCACCTCCCCTAAAACTCCCATAGATGTAATTATTAGGAATTTACATAAGGAATGACCGAAAGTTGTTTTTGTGGTTGCAGACCAGTGTTGTACTTTGCATGAGATAACCAATGATTGTTGTTACCTATCTGGGGGATTGGTTGTTCTGCAATACAGAAGTAAGGCAGGACGTCAAAGACTTAGTGTCTTGGTTTCAATTCTTGATACTTTTACTGGAAAATTGATACTTTTACAACGATTTATTTAGTTATTTATGGTTTGATCTTAGGCTACCTGATGATACCCTGAGGTTACCCTTTAATTTATTAGTGCCTTACTTTAATTTAGTTTAGCACTGATTAAAAACCCCGTAGAGCAAATATGTATAACAAATAATATCAAGGAAGCCCATTTATAGGAAACATATCATGAGTCCAATACATATGGAAAATGACACAATTTCATTACCTAAATCAACAACAGAAAATCTTCCAAAACCATTTTAGTCAAACACAAGAACCTTTAGTGGATGAATAACTGAACCTTTGATTTCTTAGTTGAATACTAAAATTATCAAACATGTTAACATGCTGAAAAGTCAGATAAAAGAGTTGTGGGTGTTTTATTGAGATAATGACTTTGAGTCCAAGCAAGTTGCCCTAGACACTGACCCAATTCTGCTGTTGAGTAATAGAGAACTCTCTTGACCTCCATTGCTTCACTTATCACCTAATTACTTGCTTTTGCAGCTTTAAAATAAAAAACAAATTGTTTAGGTCAAAGTTAACTAAAAAAACAATAACCAATATTAATCAGCCATTATGGATATTGATAAAACAAAAAAACACTTTCAAATAATCAATTTCCATTTACCCTATTAATCCAGGTATACATCAATTGTAACGATTGCAGACTGAGACTCTCATGACCTCAAGAGTGAAAAAATGGTGATCAAAGAAATTATTTTATTTTTGTTGTTTGACTCAATAATTAATTTAGGTTAACTTTCTTAGGTTTACATTGGTGTAAAATAATATTTTACAACAATGTAATTATGATATCTCATAACATGTAATTATGAGAATAACAGCCTCTCTGAACTAAAATCCTGGTTTTTATAGTGATTTTCCCCAAGGTGGCTGCTATTACCCCAGACTCCCTTAATGTAACACAGGTAGCACGATGCTTGATTTGATTAACAGCCCACAAATAATCCACTCATTCTGTCAATTTTCACCCAAACTGTCTACTGTTTGTTTTGTTTTGTTTAAGTCTTCAAGATATGGTTCATAGAAATCTAGATCAAGATGATGTGAAGACTACATCAAAATACAAAGTAAATTGCTACAGTGTTTATAACATGTATTGAGGGTAAAAAATACAAAGGGAATATTTTTATGGTGCCATAGTAGTAACGCAACTGGCCATATTAATAGTAGTTGTGTTGTGACATCAACTTTGAATATTGAATTAGACAAACTATCTACGAGTGGTGCCATTTGCAGCTCTGTAGCTGATGTGTACACTTTACTAGAATCTGAGTGGAGAGCGGCGTTTTTGCGAAAATTGATCTGGACTTGGAACCATGAGTGGCGCTGGGTGGCACCGCTTACTGTCACTCACCGCTCTGAGCCACCCTTAACAAATTTACACACAACTAAATGGGACCCGATGTCAGAGCAGCGCTCTGTATTGTACCTGAGGCCATAGGAATCCGGAAAAGTGTGCTTAACTTATAAGTTTGGGTGTATAAAAAGTTGGCAATGAATGTAAAATTTACATAGACCACTCATTTACTTTTACTACAAACAAAATATTTGACATCCAAAACCAAGCCATTGATTATATTTGCTAGCAGTTGAGCAATTGGCATGGTAGTAGGATTTGTTTGTTCATTTTCTCTTCCTTCATCAGTTTCTTTTTAGTTTAAATACTGGTTCCATCCTTAGCATTTTCACAATCTTGTCCCCATTAACATTCATATTCCTTATGTATTCAGCCAAAGTGTCCGCCATATCACCTTCTTTCCTAGGAACATCTGGTTTCAGCTGATACTTCACCAGCACCTGAGAAACAAGTGATATTTGGTAAAATAAGGTAAAAAATCTCAATACCTATAACAATACAAACTAAATTACCATATCAAATCTTTTTAGTACAAATAACTTTTCTCTGAAACAACAGAACTGGCGATGAATCAGAGCCGGCTCAAGGACCGTGCGAGCCGTGTTCCAATACAGAGCACATTTTCACAAGTACCAAAATACTTATTTTTATATTTATATTTAGGTTAAATTTCTTAGGTTTACATGGTGTGCTTATCCTCGCTAATCCGACCTCTGATGGTCCGACTCCTCGCTTGGTCTGACCGTGATGATTTAAACAGTAATTGAGCTCCAGTTGTAAAAGGGCTTGCAATAAATACGACGTTGTAGAATTCAATAATACAAGTATACATTTTGAGCTAGAAGTCAAAATTTTGAGAATAAAAGTAAAAATTTTTATATTAAAAGTCAAAATATTGAGATTAAAAGTCAAAATGTTGAGATTAAAGGTCAACATTTTGAGAATAAAAGTCAAAATTTTGATATTAAGAGTAAAAATTTTGATATTAAAAGTCAAAATTTTGATATTAAAAGTCAAAATGTTGATATTAAAAGTCAAAATTTTGAGATTGAAAGTCAAAACTTTGAGATTGAAAGTCAAAATTTTGAGATTAAAAGTCATAATTTTAAGATTTAAAGTCAAAATTTTGAGATTAAAAGTCAAAATTTTGAGATTAAAAGTCAAAATTTTGAGATTAAAAGTCAAAATGTTGAGATTGAAAGTCAAAATTTTGAGAATAAAAAGTCAAAATTTTGAAATTAAAAGTCAAAATTTTGAGATTGAAAGTCAAAATTTTGAGATTAAAAGTCAAAATTTTGAGATTGAAAGTCAAAATTTTGAGATTAAAAGTCATAATTTTGAGATTAAAGTCAAAATTTTGAGATTAAAAGTCAAAACTTTGAGATTAAAAGTCAAAATTTTGAGATTGAAAGTCAAAATTTTGAAATTGAAAGTCAAAATTTTGAGAATAAAAGTCAAAATTTTGAGATTAAAAGTCAAAATTTTGAGATAAAAAGTCAAGATTTTGAGATTAAAAGTCAAAATTTTGAGATTAAAAGTCAAAATTTTGAGATTGAAAGTCAAAATTTTTAAATTGAAAGTCAAAATTTTGAGAATAAAAGTCAAAATTTTGAGATTAAAAGTCAAAATTTTGAGATAAAAAGTCAAGATTTTGAGATTAAAAGTCAAAATTTTGAGATTGAAAGTCAAAATTTTGAGATTAAAAGTCAAAATTTAGAGATTAAAAGTCAAAATTTTGAGATTGAAAGTCAAAATTTTGAAATTGAAAGTCAAAATTTTGAGAATAAAAGTCAAAATTTTGAGATAAAAAGTCAAGATTTTGAGAATAAAAGTCAAAATTTTGAGATTAAAAGTCAAAATTTTTTAATTAAAAGTCAAAATTTTTAGATTAAAAGTCAAAATTTTGAGATTAAAAGTCAAAATTATGAGATTGAAAGTCAAAATTTTGAGATTGAAAGTCAAAATTTTGAGATTAAAAGTCATAATTTTGTGATTAAAAGTCAAAATTTTAAGATTAAAAATCAAAACTTTGAGATAAAAAGTCAAAATTTTGAGATAAAAAGTCAAAATTTAGAGATAAAAAGTCAAAATTTTGAGATTGAAAGTCAAAATTTTGAGATTAAAAGTCAAAATTTTGAGATTGAAAGTCAAAATTTTGAGATTGAAAGTCAAAATTTTGAGATTAAAAGTCAAAATTTTGAGATAAAAAGTCATAATTTTGAGATTAAAAGTCAACATTTTAAGATTAAAAGTCGAAACTTTGAGATAAAAAGTCAAAATTTTGAGATTAAAAGTCAAAACTTTGAGATTAAAAGTCGAAATTTTGAGATTGAAAGTCAAAATTTTGAAATTGAAAGTCAAAATTTTGAGAATAAAAGTCAAAGTTTTGAGAATAAAAGTCAAAATTTTGAGATTAAGTCAAAATTTTGAGATTAAAAGTCAAAATTTTGAGATTAAAAGGCAAAATTTTTTGATTAAAAGGTAAAATGTTGAGATTGAATTCAAAATTTTGAGATTAAAAGTCAAAATTTTGAGATTAAAAGGCAAAATTTTTGATTAAAAGGTAAAATTTTGAGATTAAATTCAAAATTTTGAGATTAAAAGTCAAAATTTTTAGATTAAAAGTCAGAATTTTACAAAGAAAATATTACTCCATGGTCCTTCTACATTCTACGCCGTCGTAGTTATCTAATGTTTTTATCGACATTCTTCTGTCCTGAAACAGCGTAGCAGTAGCCTATGACTAGCAGTAGCTTATTAGACTTTTAATGTTCTGTTATTTATTTTTCTGTACAATGTTTGGCAATCTGTTTGTTTGAGTAAAAGCTTTGACTGTCAACAAAACAGTTTGAAAAAGCTGTGATTTTAAGCATTACAGGTTACAGTTTTTATTACTGAACCAAGGATAATGACATAACATAATTAATTTTGTATTTTTATGATGTAATATGCAAATTATTACATTAACGTCCATTTAGTTTATGAGTTGGAAATAACTGTTTTATCTCATGTTGGATTAACAGTGGTTATCAGTTATCCTTGGTCTGTTCAAAATACAGTTTTACTACGTTTTTATGTCAATAAACGCGTTCCTCTGTTAATCCGTCCTTTTTGCTGTTCCAACCATGCTCCCGGTCACGTAGGTGACGGATTAGCGAGGTTCTACTGTAGCCTAAATGGAAGAAACTAAACTATAGCAGGTGTTGTGCATTTGTAAAAAAATATTTTTGGTATATTTATTTTGTATTCATGCAGGTCACTGCACCCCAAATTCGCTCTATGTGCAGGGCTCGTAGCTGTAGTAATTACTTGTTCTGCAGTTATACTTAGGGCAAACTGATATAGGACGTTTCTAGAGTGAACATGTCTGTGAGCTCCGTGCAAAGTCCTTATAGCTGTAACACTATAACACTACAACTACGATATCGTTGATATCACCAAAGACTCTCAGTGAGCACTGGCCGATGGCAACAAGTCTAACAATGATCACACACATGACTTACTCTACCCCAGAATGTCTAACTACAGTCTCAGCCTGGAGGGTTTTACTTTGATGACCATATAGTTTTCATACTTAGAAAAATATATAAATAGGCACAATTAGTTGTAGCCTTAGCTTAGGCAAGTCAAAACAACCAGTCTGAATTCCCTTAGTATCAATATTATCAATATGAGTTTTGTACCAATGCAAGTTAAAGGTTTAGGAATTGTATGGCTTAGACTGACACACAATTTTGTAGGTTGAGTGATTTGAGGTTAAATAAAAGACAAGACAAAAAAGAGGAAAATAATTAGGACAAATCCATCATTCAACACATTTTAAATATTTTAACATTACTCTACATTAGTACTATGCTTACATTCAGAGAAGTTTACTGGTCCGTAGCAGTTGGAACACGCCAGCTTGTAAGCCTCCGAGGTTGACACCAAGTACTTTGGTCTGCTTCCACAAGCCTTGCGTCTGAGGCAGCACCTGTACATACGACCAGTTAGGACAAGAAGGTTCAAGATACTTTCAAGGTTCGCTCAAAACTCAATCTCAATTTGATTCCTCTAAAAAGCATGATTAAAATTTTTCTGGAATTGAGTTGCGATCACATTCAAAGGAAAGTACACACATGTGGCTGCCTGGTGTGATCATCTCTGGTACATTGTCTAGGTCTTACTTTTTGAGTAGTGAAAGTCTTGGTGTATAGCCTATTAGGATTCTAATTTTGTTACCAACTAAAAAATCGTCCTGCAGCCCATGCAATAACCTCACATTCTAGACAATCATACCATCTTTCACAGATCAGTAAAGTCCTTGAAACAAGCACTAGTAATTTGTTGAGATTTTCTTCCATAGATATGTTTGTCTATTGTCTATTTGATGTTAAATTGCACCAGCACCAAATTCTGAACAACCATCCCTAACAATAGTTTTTGCATCTATATAATCACTTTGTGCTACAGTTAAAGTTTGAATTTGATTGCACTTTTGTTAAATCAATCAGAATCAAAACAGTTCCAAACATTAAGGCCCTTATTAAACGAGGTAGCCTGATGATGTCGCCAGCTTTGGTACTGGCTGCTCAGTCTATCATGGAGCATTGATTCTAATAGATGTTATTACACAAAGGTAGCCACTAGCCAGCAACGTAGCCACAATTTGGCAACCGACTGGCTACCGAGCCCTGTCACCACAACTGTCGCTACTGGTTTTAAAACTAGAAACATTCTGGCTACTTGGTTTGATAGCCAGTGCGTCGCCAGGCTACCTCGTGTAATAAGGCTGTAAAAGAAACATGGTTAAAACTAAGCAGGACAAAGTGTACATCACATACCTGCAGTGTAAAACCAGGGCCTTCATAATTCAACTTAACACACTGTAGTACAACTCACCCGTACAAACGTCCGCCTGTCGTGAGTCAAGAGTACAGCTCGGCCAGTGTTGGGCCTTACGACTCTCCCGAGCTCCAACAACACATTCTTATACAGCAATCTGTTATCTGTCTTGTGCCCGCTCCTCTTACCAAAAGGCTAGAAACATGAAAACAATTCAGGAATATAGTTTACTAAACCAACCATACCTAACACTAAATAATTAAACAAATAGGCCTAGTTGAAACCAGTTTGGAAATTAGTTTTAAAAAATAATATTGATGAAGGGCCTAACCAATAACCAATATAGTAAACTTAAAATCGTTTAGCGTAGATCTTTTCAGAAGTTAACTCTCTGCTCCAGTAGGTGCTTGAGATGAAGTTTGGGTTTTGTTGCAAGCAACTGTTGTCAAGCTTCCTATTACACCCAACGTCACTGTACCTTCAAATCCATACAGGTGTAGTTGCTACGTATTAAGACACAAGGTTAGCATGTGATTGATCATTGTTATACTATTTATCAAGTGTCACTGTAATGTTTAAAGGTACTTAAAGGTCTAGGCAATATTTTATGTACCACACACGCCTTATCACCTCTGGTTTAGGAGAATAATCTAAGTACAATACAACACAATACATTTATTTACTGATTATTATTTATTATTTATTGATGGATGCATCTTCGGATTGAGATGATGTTAAGGAAAGTGGTAGTAATGGAGGTAGAACACATCTCTCATTCTAAGAATTTTGTGGACAATCAGAATGTGTAAATGGAAAACATGAAAGCAAATGAATGATAATGAACATGATGACAACATTAGTAATACACTTTAATTAAGTATTTCAGAGACACTATTGTAATCCAAAGACCATCCAACTACACTAGTTTCCGTTGAGATCAAGCAAGCTAATTCAAATCTGAGATCAGCACCATGTTCGTTACTTAATTTACTACAGTACTATTCTAACAAGACTCCACTAAAAAAACAGGCCATGCTGCAGAATCCATGACGTCACACTTGTGGATAGATTTACTGCCATATCCCATGTTTTAGGTAAATAAGCTGGCTGTAGCAACTTTAGTACATCTATCCACCACTGTGACATAGTGTTGCGCTTATGATTTTGTATGGAAGAACAAATTTCTTTCTGTGACACCAAGGCTATGATACCATAGATAAAACGTACTCCCTACGTATATTTCTCATCTTTATGGATCAGCTGAAGACGATTGTATTGTCTATCCTGTGCACTGTAGAGGTTGTGTTTTGTTTACAATTTGTTTCTCGTTATTACAATAATTTAAAACCTCGATTAACCAAACAAAACAATCTAATCATAAACAATAACTCGTCCCTTGGTTATATAACTAAACATTTAAGCACAAACCATAAAATTAACACTTATTAATAGAAACAAAATTTGACCAAAACTGGCGATCAGTGTCACCGGAAATGAACTCTAGACACGAAAAACGAGCTTCAAAATTACAATGGGATGAGGAGTCTACTTGTGTTGGTTAGCAAAAGACTTAAATGTACCTACACATTACATCTTGCTGTTTATTGCTTTTTATCTTTTCACTTAAATATTGGTCGATATATTAAATATTTTACACCAATTAAACTATTTTAAATCTAGTTTAATAAGACTTACCAAATCTGTGACGAAGACATCCACAGAGGAACTTCGCAGTGGCAATTTGGTGGCATTCCAATGTAAAACATCCACTGGTACAGTTTTCTTTGGTCCCAGAGAGTCAATGTTGTTTAGGCTTCGAACAACGGCTTTTTCATGAGCGTCTCCACAAATGTTGTATGTCAGTGGATATGCCAACGCACTCTGGACAGTAAATATTTGTTAACACACTAACCTAGGAAGAAATTCAACTTTTAAAGAGAGGATCAAGATTTAGAATGTCTGATGAAATGGCTACCAGTAGAAAAACAGCATTAGCTCTAATATTTGTAAATTTGGGGTAAGCTTAAGTGCATTTATTACCACTAAAAACCAGAATTGTTGCAAAATCATGTTCATCTCCCATGTCTGTGGGCAACATCATATTCATTGTTACTTGCGATCGCATCAAAATCCTGAATAACTCACACGGTTGCGGAAACAAACAAAAAACACAACAAAACAAAGCGAGAGAGCCTGGATAAAAATTGATATACTACAAAGAAAACTAAATTAACACTGTGCTGTATTTCCTAGGTTATTAGGTTGTCCATAATAACGATTATAAATTCTAAAAAAAAAAAAAATATGTCTATTACTTCTCCTTGGTGGTGTTCTATGAGTTTCCTGTGTTTTCATAGTTTGCAAATCGACTCTCTCAATGATTACTAGGAAATACAGCACAGTGTTAATTTAGTTTTCTTTTTAGTATATCAATTTTTATCCAGGCTCTCTCGCTTTTTGCCATTGTAATATTTACGACAAACACTGTTTACAATTAACATATGTTCTTCTTACTTTTAATTTCTGACAACAGCTGGAGTTTCATAACAATTTTTGTTTCCCATGTGAATCTTATGGAGAAATACGAAACTTTAAGGGGCTCCAGGGCCTCACTCTCTCATTATTTCCCTAAAAAAAAAGTTTCCTACACAACTTCAAGTTACGCTCTTTCCAATGACACCAAAAACATGACAATCGGTTCAGTAGTTTCGGAGGAGTAATTGTCACAAAAAATCTGCTTGCGTATTAAATAAGTACTAGGGTACATTTTGCTCGAAATCAAGCAATCACAAAGAAGTAAAGGAGTTATTTAAAACAAATAACTTATTTATAAACAAATATAAGTAATAAATTACTAAGAGTTTGAATAAAAGAGTCAACTCAAAGATTACTTAACTAATGGTAATCTCGTACTCACAATGTACTTAATAGTTCAATATAATCAACATTTCTTGTAAATATTTTATCATTTTTCAAAAGCTGATCTGGCTTTTAGTGTATTCTACAAATGTTTCCCACTTATAGCCGCAATATGTTATCCATGTTGGTCTTTGTCAATGATATAGTCTGCATGGTGTCACCCATTGTCGCCAGTACGTTTACAAATTTCAGTCTTTATTTTAATAGTACCAAATAACCATTAATTACCTGATTTTCTGCAAAACCTCTCTGTCACGATTTTATAATTAACATAATGCTCTTCTTCTCACTTTTAATTTTTGACAGCAGCTGGAGTTTCATAACAATGTTTGTTTTCCATGTTAATCTTATGGAGGAATACGAAACTTAAAAGGGCCCCAGGGCCTCACTCTCTACTTATTTCCCTAAAAAGGAAGGGAAACTCTCTCTTCCTTAGTTGAAAATGCTGTCAGTGACAGTGAAATATTCTAATGTTTTGTGTATATAGTGTAAAGTTTTGTTTTGTGTTTCCTGTGCCAGTTTGGACTCTTTCCCATTCAGGTAAAACTGCTATCCTCTCAAAAAATCCTAAAAAATATTTCCCTAAAAAGAAAGTTTCCTGCACAACTTCACGTTACGCTCTTTCTAATGACACCAAAAACATGCCAATCGGTTCAGTAGTTTCGGAGGAGTAATTGTCACAAAAAACCTGCTTGCGTATTATTAAATAAGTAATAGATGTTGTTACTTAGCATGTATGAAGACAAGACTTATAATTTGATTACCAAGTGCGAACTGTTCATTGATAAGGATTTGCATTTCCTGGGGGCAAGTCCCAATGGTTTGGTTGGCTCAGACGGTTTGGTGGAAGTAAAATGTCTTCATTCTGTCACTAACCAAACCCTAATTCACACTGCCAACGACAATCAAAACAAATTGTGCTTGAATATTTAAGATGGGTGCTTGCGACTAAAACGTAATCACAATTATTTTTATCAAGTGCAGGGACAAATTGACATAACTCAAAGGCAATGGTGTGATTTTGTTGTCAATTCAAAGAAAGAAAGGTTAGCTATTTATAGAACAAATCGTCATTACGAAGGTTACCAGTATTAAATGAACCGGTAATTTTGTAGCAAAATTGTTTGAAATACAAATTAAAAATCTAAATAGTAAAAATTTTACTCGCTTTAACTTTTTTTTCTTTTATACAGCTTAATAAAATTAAATATTTCTACGTTAGTATATTGTCAAACATCCTTAGGTTGATTATAGCCAACTGAAGTAGACCATCAGTGGTAGAATGAGACAAGACAGCAGTGGCTAGGCAGGCAAGGACTAGGGAGGTGGGTCGGTACGGCAACTCAAAGTGATGGCATGCTAAGCTGAGTCAGAGTGCGAGAGAGAGAGAGGGAATGCAGCGCACTCCAAGCGGCGACACCACCGCGCTGCCTAGCGGATTTAGTTTGCTACAGCGGTAGACCCTCAGCCTTAAGCAATCACCAGTGCCTGATACTATATATTTCCAATTTCATCATATTTTCATTTATATGGTTTCAAATGCGCTATCTGTCAGTCACTAGATTGTAATAATAGGTTTCCTTATACAGTATCTACAATCTGTGCTCTCCAAACTAATATTAATATGATGTTGTGGTCGTTAAGTTCGATCATAGTTAATAGTTTAAGTATTAAAGTTTGTGATTAAAGTAAAAGAGAATATTGAAAATGGTTATTTTAATGCTGAGGTGGAATGTGATTCTTATGCTTGCATTTTAGTTTTTATATAAAATTATACTTTTGTAATATGGGTAAAAAAAACATGTTACATTTTTGTATCACCACTCACAACTTTATCAAGCACAAGAACTTTGTTTTTTATCTAAAAATCACCTACGTTCCTTCCAGATTAAAGAGGGGGGGGGGGTGTAGGAAGTTCCTTTTGACTGTAGAGAGCTAAGGTAAGGATAAGAACCCATGGAACCATGATGAAGAGCAGGGACCTGACTCAGACAGCTAATAGGCAATATGAAATATGCAAGAAGAATCTAAGCAGCAGAAGAAGAATCTATCTATATGCAGTTCATAGGTACCTGAAGGTAAACGCAAAAGGCCTACAATTTGGCCTACTGTTCCACCTACTGGATACTGGATACTCTTGCTCGTCCAACCTACCGTTCTAAAAATACAATATTTTATCACACCAGTACACACCTCAATAGGTATGGATCCTCCGCCACACAGAGGATCAATAACTATGTCTCCAGGCTGAGGCGAGGCGAGCCGCAGCAGTCCGTAGCACACTGTGGCTCGTAGAGTTGTCGGGCCAAAGTGTGTAATGTTGCGTCGATGTTTGGACAACCGAGTCAATCCGAGGCCCACATACGCTTTGTCTGTAACATGTAGGTACCACCAAATCTGTTCAATATCGTGTACCAGTGATGAGTATCAAAGGTAGGCCTACTCATTAAATTAAAAAATAATAGGTAGCCTACTCATAACTTTGAAATAAAGCTGTTGCTTTATACTTAAAATAGTTTACAATACCTGCATATAGTAATCCTTTGTTGCTGATTTTGGCAACTAGTTTCGGTTCTTCTGAACCACCTTCAGGCCTCAAGGTGTCAAGTTATCACTTCAAGACAAGGCGAGTGCTGTACATATGATATTAGCCTATGATATGTACTTATGCCCTTTGTCTTGCAAGTGTTGATATCTATGAATGATAAGTGTAAAATGGAGTGAAATCCTACACTAAATAGAACTGGTGGGTCAAGATAATGTTTTAAATAGGCCAGCTGGTATTAATCAACCACCAGTTCTATTAGAGTTGACTATACAAAGTTGTGGGACCACACCACCTGTTATTTGGCCAGGATCAGTTGTTAAAAGCTCAAGATCAAGGACAGCTTGCCTAGTTTCAATCCATCAAAAGGCTGCTGACTTTTCTCAGGTTAGAAACAGAATTATTTTAGCTACAACATGAGCGCTACTTTTTAAGCACTGTAGCACTCTGGTTAAAATATTGACTAGTTAGTTGTCAATTATTACTAGCTTATTGCATTTCGCAACCTACAATGTAACAACATTCAGAAATCCAAAAGGCTAGGTTTATTAAATTAAATTTTTTGGGTGTATTTTGCTAACCTAGTGGTTAGCGTCTCGGACTTTGGTGCGGGAGGGGCGGATTCAATTCCCGGCACATCTAAAAAATTTTAATGAGTTTGGACCGCTTTCCCTTAAAAGCGTTTAATCTAACATTGACTTAAATTAAAATGCCACTGGCGTAGAGAAAAGAGTTTACAAATATTAGTCTAAAAGCAGAATCATTGATATATTATTATATTACCTAAATAAAAAATCCTTCTAAACTAAAAAAACAACACTATTAACAATCACCGAGTTCCTAACTATCCCTCCTACAATATCTTCAAAATACAACGATAGATACCGGTATATTTAAATCTTGGTATTTGTCTTTGGGAGCCTAGAACGTAGAAGGTAGGCTTCAACGGTTAAAAAAGGCTGTCATCTCCAACCTGATCTACCGTTAAAGCCTAACTTTTAGTTTATAATATACAACTTGACAATTTGGTCTTAAATACTTACTGTTACAGATGTTCAATACTACATCAATATTGTAGGTAGTCAAATCAATGACCCAATTGAATAAATCGTGAAGTCTCCCACCAAAATCTTTTGCTGCGTCCATCGAACCAAAAGAATGTGTTCCAACTCTATTACAGGTAACTCGGTATCTCAAAAACGGAGAAAACGAGTTGAGACTTTCCGTTATGGCAATACGGTCAGTTACACCTAGTGACTTTAAAATTTCCAACTGTGCAATCTTTGTTCTGTTTCCTTCTTCTTGTTCTTCTTTTGACGGATACAAGACACCATTGAAACCTACACAGTCTTTCCATATTTTTAAAGAGTCCTTCCACTCAAGTTTGTCCGGTAGTGTTTTGATTTCTTCGAGATCAGCTTCCTGAAAACAAGAAAATACTGTATATTATTTTAATGAGGTAAGTTTAAGAATGTTGATGCAACTGTACAAATCAAATCATTCACATAGAATTTTAGAAATCATAACTGAATAGCCCTCATCCATTTGTTGGTATTACAGATTTTTTTATTGTTGATAATTTTCCATTGATTGTCAAGTTTGTCTAATGACCAGTTAACATTGGTATAATGGTTTGTTAACTGCTTTTTTGTCCTAGGATGCTATGCACGAGCCCGGAATCATTTTCCACATTACTTCAGGCTAGACCTAGGGGTTACGGCATTATCACTTGAATAAAATCCATTGGTGATTTGGCGGGATTTGAACCCGGGACCCCAGGAACCGGAGTCCCGCGCTCTAACCACTAGACCAGCTAGCTCCCCCTTTGTTAACTGCTTAAAACCTTTTTCAATAATATAGTTTGTTTCGTTCTACTTAACGGGCTTTGCACACAAGGTCACCACACCAGTGCCCCTATTTAAATGCCACTGCTGTGTGCCATCAATTGTGGCACTATATACGGTATATATTTTTACAAAAAACAAAATGCATTTTAAATAATATTTATCAAAACAAAATGCATGCTACTTGCCTATCAAAATAGGTACTATTGCTTTAAACAGCAACCAGGTATAGTTTCACGTTATGATGGGTGATGGTTAGAAGAGTCCTGATGGTCCAGAATCCTGATAATCCAAGTAAATTGGAACCGGCATCTGTTTTGATTACCAAATCGTTCTGACAAGCAAGAAATTCATTAAAATTGTATCAAAATAATATTTAAATGTATTTTCATGACAGTAAATGGCCACATATTATTGCTCCCACCATCATGTCTACACCTTAATCGTGTCCTGCGATCAAGGATACCTCCTTCTCAGTTCATACCTCTCAAATAGGAGGCAAGTGGTCTGTGTGGAGGGTGAGCGATCTGCTACACTGGGGGTGGTATGTGAGGTCCCCCAAGGGTCCATTTTGGGACCATTTCTTTTTTTAGTGACCATTAATGATCTGCCCAGTAATGTCCTTTGTAGTACCTACTTATATGCAGATGATTCAACCTTTTTGTCGTGTGGACCTGATATAGAACAGCTTTCTGATGATGTTGACGTGGCAGAGAGTAATTTTACTGACTGGTTTGCTGCTAATTCATTACTTTTAAATAATGAAAAGACAAAAAATGTAATATTTAGTCTTAGAAGTGTACCTGATAGATTAGTTTCGAATGAGTATGTTAAGTTCTTAGGAGTCATAGTTGATAAGCAATTATCTTGGTCCCCACATATTGAAAATCTGTTAAGTCGTCTTTCAAGGGTTATATTTCTGTTCAGTAGATTAATTCATTATGTACCTTTTGATTATATTAAGTCAGCCTATTTTGCACTATTTCAATCATTAGCAAGCTATGGTCTGATGTTCTATGGTAGTTCGAGTAAAATTCAGGAAGTATTGTTATTACAAAAAAAGGTTATTAGAATGGTTATGAAGGCTGATAGATTAGCACACTGTAAACCGCTATTTAAAGAATTTGGTGTCATGACAACAGTTAATTTGTATATTTTCCAACTTTTATTGTTTACCCACAAAAATAGGGACAATTATGATTGCAGAAATGATATACATAGTTTTAGCACTAGAAACTGTAGAAAAATAAATGTACCACAAGTTCGTTTAGAAAAAAATAGGTCCGGTCACATTGTTATGGGCATTAGGCTTTATAACCGATTACCAACGGCTGTGATTTGTTTAGATGACAAGATTTTCAAGAGAAAAGTGCATGCATTTTTAATAAGTAACCCACTCTATAATGTAAAAGAATACTTTGATCTGCCTCATAATTTATTTAATGAAATTGCATAGAGCATTATATATAGACATATTTTCTAATTTTCTAATTTTTTGCAATCTCTCGCCATGTACACTGTATTATTGTATTTTTATATTTTATTGAACCTCAGATTATGTCTTATATTTTTAAGGTATTCATTGAATATGTGACGCATACAATTGTATGAAAACAACTTGACTTGTCCATGCATGTAAAAATGTAAAAATGACAAATAAACGTCTTAAGGAGATACTGTAATCATTTGCCCCAATCACAACCGTTATGTTTATCTATTTTAAGAAGCGTTTGATATCAAATCTAGGAACAGTAGTCATGTTTGTGACTGGTAGTCACCACTAAATTGTGAGTGTGTAGTGTTTCATATGACTCTGAGCATACCAATTGGCAGCGCAGCCACCACATATGGCCTATAGAAATCAAACATAGGAACATTATCTTATTTATTATTAATCTTATACTATACGCCGATGATCGTTCTATGCGATCAAGGCAACATCCGTGAACATATCTTGCAGTCTTGGTGATACCGTGATAGTACCTCCAATGATTATGGAAACTCTCGTAAGGATAGTTTTGTTTGGTTATACAGCTTTATTTGCCCCAGGTAAACAATATTTAAATATAACAACAACAAAATTAGCAAGAAGGTTTCAAAAACAATGGTTTGATTAGAAAACGTTTGTGGGTTTATGGGGGAGGGGGGGTATTCAGTGCACTATAACATTGCTGGCCCACCTTTCTTCCCAAAATTTACAATGTGGCCCTTGAGTAAAAGAGGTCGGTGACTCCTGAAGTGTTCAGCAGGGCCGATTTACCGAATAGGCATGGTAGGCACGTGCATAGGGTGCAGAGCAATTGACTTTTTTGGGGGGCGCCAAAAATTTTGAAAATAAAAAATTTGGCGGTTGTATTTGCATGATCACAGTAAACTTCTGATAATTTCTCTCGGCCATGTAGACATTATTATTGCCTTCCATGATCGCGGCAATATATGAACATATCCCGCGGTCGTGAGGAGATTATCATCGTCTTGCGCTATGGCGATAAAATACTGAATACCCCTCGCGGCCCTGAAGACATCATTATATCCTCCCCCGCAGTCGTTTGTACATAGTAATCGCCTCCTGCAATTGCGGCAAAATGGTTATCATCTCCCACTCCCTCGGCCATGTATTGTATAGATCATCGTCTTCCGCGAATGAGGCAAAGTTCTGATCTTTTCCCGCGGTCATGTGGGCATTATAATTGTCTTGCGCGATCGCGGCATAATTCTTATCATCCCTCCCGGCCGTGTAGAAATCATTATTGTATCTCCCGTGGTCCTGTAGATATCGTAAGTAATCATCTCCTACGGTCGTGAAGACATCGTGCGGTAATTATTGTTTCCCGCGATTGCGGCAAAATGTTAATCATATCCCGCAGTCGTGTGGCGATCATCATCGTCTTCTGTGATCGCGGCAAAATTCTTACTATTTCCTGCCTTTGTGTGGCCATTATCATCGCCTTCCATGATCGCGGCAATATTCTGATCATCCCTCGCGGCTCTGTAGATATCACCATCGTCATCTGCGATCGCGGAAAATTTTGATAATCGCGGCCGATTGTAGACATATTGTTGTCTCCCACGGTCACGGAAATGTCACTGTTGTCACGTGGCAGCAAATTGAAAATTCCAGGTGGATATACAAAATTCACGCATAATTCCCGGTTCAAAAAAACTCAAGCATAATTCACGGATTAACGTTTTCCTGGTCAGTGGACAACCTGTATATATATTGCAAAGGGGTGCTACTATTAGTTGTGCCTAGGGCGCTGACAGGGTCAAAAACGGGCCTGGTGTGCAGTAGTCCCTATGTGACAGTTAATAGTAGTTTTACAAATTATTACAACTATTATTTATTTTAATAACCTCACTTTTTTAGTGTAGGTCTATCATAAGAGCCCTGGTTGACCCTACACAATACTAAGTACGGTACCTACATGCTTAAATGAGAGGAAATTAAAATTTTTACTTACTAGGTAAAGTTAGGTTATTAGGCTAGGTAAAGTTTGTGACCACAAAAAAATGTAAAATACAAATTAATTTACCTTTTCATTTGATGTGGAGGAAAGAAGATTTGAGATAACCGCACCAATCAAAAACAGGTTATCAACAGCCCTCAAACAATGTACCTAAAAAGTGTCAAGATTAAAAACAACATTCATGTAATAAAGTGACTTTATGCTATAGGAAAAATGGAGGATTATTTTTATAGCCTACCTCATAAATAGGTGGGAAAATGTACAGCCTAGGCTAACTAATAATTTTTAGGAAAACCGTACAAGACTGAAACAGGTAACTTAGTGACGGTAAGTTCAGTCACCCATATTTGTCATCTGCTGACACTTATTGTTACTGTAACCAAAGAATAGGTCCCTTGGGCTTGTCACACACTGCGTCCGGTCCTGTAAAATCGGATCAGGCATGCCATAACGGGTAAATTCGGAAACCATTTGAAAATCATGAATTCAAATGGAAGTCCCCAGACTGCATCAGGTGCAGTACGGTAAAATTATTTCGAATGAGAAGCGATCGGAGAGCTCCCGCATGCGCAGATGACTTCTACTCACCCTATGACAGTGACAGTAGCAGCAGACGTGGTTTTGTGGTGCTTGTTTACGCTGTACGTTTTGTTACACAATTTTGTTAGAAGAGAAACTGATTGTGCTGGTACAGGAGTACCCTTGCTATACGATCTGGGCCACAAGGACAAGAGCTGCTGCAGCTACGAAGATCTCTTCTTTAATGTCACTTTCAGTCATTGCTTTAGGGCAATTATAGGGCAAAACTACCTTTATTTGTTGTTGGTTAAACACTTCATCAACTCACAGTACCGCTGTCCTATGGAGGAACTGGAACGCCTGATGCACGTGTGGAAATTTGACGGATCCGGCAGAAAACATTGGATTGGAATGTACCGGACCGGACGCAGTGTGTGTCAAAACTTAGTTGCAAGTTGCTCTATGGGCTATTAAACTTAATTAACACTCCTGTCTAAGGAACATTCAGACAGTTTTGACAATGGTGTAAACTTAACTAGGCCTAATATTACCAGATGCTTAAGACCACTGACCAAACATAATTTTTAATCAAGTGAGGGATAGGCTATTCACAATCCTGCACCATCCTTTAAGTTATACTTGCTCTGCATTTACATCAAGCTTTAAGAACCCTCAAGCACGCTACAGTCTTAACTAATGATTAACATGTCTTCTAAGCCTATTGAGTCTGTATAGGCTAGTGTTCGCCTACCATCTGAAGGTGGCTGGTTTCATTCCAAGTGAGATATTTTTTTGGACCCAGACGCATTTGTCTTAGAGCTATCAATTGATGCTAGGCTATCTGACAAAAATTCGCCCCATTAGATAGGCCTAGGCTAGTCAACAAGATTAGGTCCATTGTAAGATTTAGGTCCGATGTAAGATGTAAGATGGTCCAAACGCTTCACTTTGAAAACACGTCAAGGGTTTAAAAATATTTAAAACCTAAAATACCTTATAATATTCATGTTGAGGAATCACAAAAAATATTCGTCCTCTTGTTTTAAAAGAAGGGGTCTCAGCCCCAAACATTTCCTTACACTCATCAAGAGCTACCCCTTCAAAACCAGTATCCACAGTTGCTTCCAATGTAATTAGTCCGTTATAATCATTTTTGAATATCGAATCTAATTCAGCGATGTAATTATTGTCATGCATACTTTTAATCGATGATAAAATTACTGATTTAGTCACAATATAATAAAAGGTAACTATGTTAGCGTAAAACTGAGGATGCAGTGCTTGTCGCTTGTCATTTTAGGTTAAGTCATTGTTTTGTTTTGTTTTGGTTTTTTTGATACATTACATTTTATTTACATTTCCTTATTATTCCTTATTACCATGTAGCTAACATTGAAGTGTGCTATGTAACTGTTAAAATTATGAGCATAAATTTGGCAACTAACGCAATATGTCATTATTGTTTTTACACTTATTGCTAAATGTTCAAAATATGTATATTTCACCCAATTTATCGCAGTTAGATGAATTAACGTAAGCCTTGAAAGTAACCGTCGATTTCGACGGGTTTCACCTATTTTTTTTATAATTCGTGCTATAACCATGGATTAAATTACTCCTTTTATATTATGTCTTGAAACTTTAATAGTATTGCATGCATGTCTTTATCAAGATTAAAATAAACCTTGTTACTTTACCAACAGAAGAGCATAACTGTTTGTGTAAATGACATTAAATTTACTTTAGCAGCACAATTAATTACAAAAGCACCGTTGATCAAAAATCTCAGTTTCACCCCTTAGTTTTATAAAACTCTCACATTTCAACCCACAGGGCTATGTTGACTAGGGAAAAATTTTACTAATTGATCATGTTTTTTTTAACAATTCAAGTGTAATATTGTGTGAGTCCACACGCAGAAAGAATCTGATTAAATTATTACTAGATATGTAACTAAGGAGGGTGATTTGTAATGTTTCTATTTGTTCTTTCTGTAGTTAAATAAGTCCTCCTATAGATAAAACATACTCCTTGAGGAGTATGTTTATATCTATGGTCCTTCTAAAACTATATGGGCTATTAATTAACAGCTGTATCTAAGGAACATGTCGTTCTTAGTCACTTATAACAAGACTTACAAGATCGCAGCACTCATCCTACACTAATCCCAATCCCATCCTTCACTCATATTTTGGTTAAAATACGCACCTAGTGGCGTCCCCATATTAAATAATTGATAACATAATTGAATGATACAAGTCACCTCTGGTTAAAAATACGATAGCTTTGAAAACAAATTGACTTGCTAGATTGCTGATTAATTAAAAACCTCTTATATGAGTTATTTGTTTTAATTAATTAATTATAAATTAATTAATTTGTTTAAAATCAATCCATAGGTTGACATAAAGACGTTAAGCTGTTAGTTAGTCCTGGGGTTTGATTACCAAAACAGTCGTTATGTCACTGTCACTAATACCTTATACCTACCACGATTACTAGAAAAATACATACCTACCATAGATCAGCAGACATAATTCCTAATAATGAAGCCTACCTTATTTATGTTGTTAATTATATATGTATTATAATCATCAACAAAGTACAGGGTTTTCAAAAATGAATGGTGCAGTTTCGAATGCTCATACAAAAATTACCTAGATGAGGTAGGAAAATGAGGTTGGTACAGTATCTCGGAATTCTTCGGCTTTAATTGTGTTGTTACTGTCCTGGAAAACAGCCTTTCATTGTTGTCGTTGAAGTTTGCGTTTGCACTTACTCAAAGTATTGAAATTTAATCTAAAACATGTTTTATGATTAAGAGAAACAAAACTATATATTGCTAAATAAATTATAGTCAACTGTTTTAGTGAAAAGGACTTTTAAAAGGCTGTTTAACAAAGCTAATTCTCATGAAAATTACATCAGACGTTGGATTTAACAGTTCTTAGAAACGGGGTCAGTAGGGTACAAAACCAATAGATTTCTGGAAGACCACCTGCATCGGAGGTAAAAATTGAAAATGTAAATCGTTTTTGCCTTAGAAGTCCAGATTAAAGTCCATGTGTTTTTTTTTCTTATACGTCAAAAAACATCGCGTACTCTAGACTCGTGATGTTGCTCATAAGAAAGAATTGATGAATCAGTAGCATTGGTAACAAGAGCCATTGCCCAGCGTATGGGAACTGGGAGAGATTGGCCATCAATTAGATATGCAGCGCACTCAATGATGGATAAATAGGGACGTATTAAATGTATCACTAAGAAACCTTATTTAATGGACCCCCTGTATGACTGCTAATTAGAGGGGGTTACTCCGCTTCACATAGTAACTATAACTGGCCTAGTATTGCGACACATTTTTTGGCTATTCGGACAAAATTATGAAGGCCACCATTTAAAATCCAAAAATTGTTGTACATAAATACATTAGTAAGTTTAGCATCATTCACTACTTTAGCGAGCAATTGGTAGTGGTGGCCGGTGGCCGGTGGCCTGTCTCGTCCAATGGGAACTGTTTTCCACGTAAAGGCATTTTATCGATTCTTTGAGACTACGCAAACTCGGGTGCTATTTTAAGCTGAACATGAATGCAAGGTGAGTGTATAATTGAGTTTGATGATAAAGAATGTCCATGTCATATGGAAAAATACGTACTTTTAACAGTTAATAGTCTTGAGCTATAATTTAACAATTGGGAGATTTAAGTTTCCCTCCCCTTTTGTTGTTGTGGTGTTTCCGGACCAGCTGTGAAAAATAAAATTATAAATTACCTGCTGTCACCTTGCGGTATTAAGTTTTGTCCTTACGAATTAATTATAAGCATTTTGTATATCCAACCATCGTCAGATTGTCGTAATAGAACTTATCTTGCCTGAAGATGTGTGTAAAAAGTTCAGAACAAACACACAAAAGCACGTAGTACGCTACTTAAAACACTTAAAACAGCATAATTTTAATAGACCTTTATCTCACTCTCTCGATGCATGCACGGCCGACAGTGTAAAGGCGCGCCAGACGTGTGTTGAGCAGTTTCACCGTGATCGTGGGAGAAAACGACGATGTCTCTGCAAATGGGGAAGATCTTCACGATTATGCTACGATCACGGGAGACATAATGATGTATCTGCAATCGCACAAGATGTTATAAGTGTATTTCCGTAAAAGAAGGAGGCGTGCACAATTCCCCCGCGAACATGGAAGAAGTCCACGATTTCGTCACGGCCGTGGGAGACTAAAATGATAATGTCTCGCAAAAGGTGGTGACGTAGATACGTAAAGGCTGTCTCTGTGATCACAAATAACCACGATTTCACCGCGTCCGCTGAGGACGCGCACGATTTCGTTGTGACCGAGGATGATTTTCGTGTATTTTAAATTTCTTTTGTTGTCACAATTTCGGCGCAACGCAAAATAGTTTAAACCGACAAGCTACACTTGACTTTTCAAAATGTATACAGTTACATCAAAATCAATTAATCGATTGTATTCAACACTATCGTTAGATTCTTTTGTATCTAATAGCTTCAATTTCTTTAAAGTTCTTAAAATAGTATACTTTTAAGAAAGCTTAGGTTTTCAAACCAAACCATATGTTACAGTATTTTCATGCGTATACAGGGAATGGGCACACGGAAGGGACTAAGGCTAAAGGTGTAGTGACGTCATATCTCTAGTGGCTAATGTCTTCTCTTGAGGCAACACGATTACCGTAACGAAACGATGTGATATCAGCGGCGTTCGTGGCATAGTTGGTAGCGTTACGGATTGATGTTCAAGAGGTCCCGGGTTCGAATCCCGCTGGCAGCACTAACTTTTTGTCAACAAATTTTTCATATCAGCAAGTTTGGTTGGTTAGGTTAGGTTATGACAGTTTAATTTTATAATACTAATTTTAAAATTAATTTTATAATTAATTAAAAATTAGAAGTAATCATTAATTAGATTTTTATCTTATACAGTTTTTATATTATCAGCAAGTCTGGTTGGTTAGGTTATGTTATGACAGTTTTATTTTAAAAATTAAAAATTTATTTTATAATTTTAAAACAATATTTTATAATCAAAAAGTTAATTTTATAACTAAAAGTAAAAAAATCAACTTAGCGGTTCTAGCGGCGAACGCTGACACTACAAGATATGTTAGCCTTAGTCCCTCCCGTGTGCCCCACCGGCGTATACAGTGTCTCTTTTAAATCGTACCATTGACTAAAGACCGTACCAAGTTGCCAAAAAGACATTAAAACCCTTTACCCGATTTAAAAGAAACGAATTTGGACAAATTAAGTGTTAAGATTAATTTTTGTTAAAAAAAATTAACACAATTTGCAAAACTGGGTATTCCATCTTAGGATTTAAAGAAACAGTATATCATTCTCTTTTTCATCCTTTTCCCGTTGCAAGGCACGGGTATAGCCACTCTCATATATATATTTTCAATCACCATTTCAAAGCGTTATACGTCCTAATGGTAGGCGATACCTGTTTTATATTTTCCGAGATGGTGAAGAGCATACTAGAAAATTTACGATTACACCAATTTAGTCATCAATGAACACATAAAATTTTACTTCTAGTTAATCACAATAAAGCTTGATGAAACTAGTACACACTTATACGCCTGACATTACAAACTAGGTAAACCAATAATGGCTTATTACAAAATTAAAACATCAAACAAAATGTAAGTACGACTAGTAAAAGTCTAGTAAAAGTCCCACAACTCTAAAATTTTTGTTAAAGACCTATACAAAAAATACGATATACTGATTGCTAAAAATATATAATAAATTTTAAAACTATTAAATCAATAATTACTAGATAAGACGGTGCAGAACTTTAGATTGTGTAGTATAAATTAGCCCACTTTTCCATAGATATTATTCGTTTTAATCATTAGTTTTTAATAATCAATCCCTAATTAGTTTCCCTTTCGATATATTGTATGATGGAAACCCAATCACAACAATACAAGATACGCTATCGAAATCACCAAAGTTGCATTAACTTTCGCAACAATATTATCACGTGACCAGGTCAAGATAGCAAACTTGTAGGTCATTTGTTGGGCCTTGAACCCACCGCTTCCTCAGAGACTGATGATCATCCGGTAGCATGTCTCGGGTGTAACACGCCCGGCAGTGATAGACTGCTGCTGGGCCTTTTCGCGCCGCGCAGGTTTGGGTACGCCGCACATCCACCGGCGCGAACCACGTGATTGTTCGTTTCTGCGCATGTCGTTCGTTTTGTTCTTGGGATGTCTAGGCTTAGGCTAGTGGCTAGAACTCGAATTAAGTTCTG